GAGACTCCAGATTTTGGACCGTATCTCCCGGTCTCCAGATTAGAGTCTGATATCTCCCGGATAATCGCCAAAATTGCTATTTCTTGTACATTAGACTTTCCGACCATAAAAGTTCAAATACTTTGCGTTGTTTAAGCTACGGCGGGAAGGTTTCCCAATAAATTCTGGTATACCACGGTAATTTAAGCAATAATGTGGCTCAATATGAACTATTTGTGCCATATACGTCGATCGGAATCAACGAGCATTTTTGGCACAAATGACGTCATTTGCGCCGTGTGATGTGACCTCATCTATCATTTCGTCCCTATCAATTCTCAATATTTGATCACGTGGGTGGTTGACAGCCCTGTAGTCATCTTCCTCCCAGTCTGGTAATATGTCTTCTAAGGTTATGTCTGAATCTTGGCGAAGAAAATGACTCCATGGATTCTTCTATTTCAAGTGTGGTGGACATCGCTGAAGACTTCATTCAAGATCTCCATTCGATTATAGAACCTCACATCAGTTTTACAATCTAACTTTGGGGAAGGTTGTTTTCTTCCTAGCAAATTTTAGTGCATTTTCAATGCTTTAGAACTGGCATTAATGGTTAACTAAAAATTCTTAAAGCTTTAACAGGGGCTTAAATTAAGTCCTTGGTAAGCTGAACATTTTGTACTCGTATTATAAAAAAATGTCTTACGGGTAACCCTATGTATAGTACAGTCGTTGGCTTCACACTAAAAGCGAAGTTAGTTTTAAGCACTTCATTCAAGTGCACTTGGAAACCTTAAGTCGCTCTGTAGAAAACATGGCTTCACACTTGTTGACAAAGTATTACTTGAAATAAAAAAGCTATCAATCTCGATCTCTCCGTCCATTAGAATCTTGGAACCGCTGCACGTGCAGCATGCACATCGTGCAAATGGCTTCCATATTTGTTTTTGGTCAGGTGTGTTCTCAAGTGTGGTGTAGCCCATACTTGGCGGCGAACTTCGGCTTCTTTGAACTACAAAAGTTTCCATGGTTACCAAGTAAAGTTGAAGTGGTTACATTTTACCCCTTCACACTCAAAGAAGGTTACAATTGCAAGGGCCCTTACATCATACTTGAAGCTCTAGTGTGAAGCCAACAACAAGTATCTTGAGTAAGTTTAAGGTCATCGAAGCAAATGACATCGAAAATGTACATTATAAGTAGTATTTATATAAGAATATTTAGCTAAAAAAGCCTAAGTGTACCAGAAATCGAGCAAAAGGTAAGCTTAAGAAAATAAAACTCAAACCTACAATACCCTACAATAAATGGTGTCGTCTCGATCTCGTTTACATCCATTTAATAATTACTATTATAATATCATAGGTGACGAATTACTCCCTAATTTTGGCGCGAAATTTCAGCGTTAATTTGTAATTTCACATGTGAAATTACAAAATTGCCATGGCAACCTTCCGTACGTCTCAGTGTCAAGATGGCGACGAAGTTTTAAAATGTCATGAATGAAGATGTCAGGGCACAAAAAGACGCTTTAGAAAACCTGAACACACGAAAGAGCACATCAAGAAAGATTCTAACAGGTATTTTGTCGAAAAACTCTGAACTTAAGCCAAATTTAAGCTCTAAACGTTCGAGAGAGTGCAGGAGTTCTCGATCGATACGATCCAGGATAGACATGTCAAAAATCCAAGATTGCTAACGTAATTCGTCACCCATGATATTATTAGGTAATCAAATGGTATACTCGTGAAATTATTCCCTAACTTCGCACGTCACCATTTGATTACACATACTTATTCATTCACAATATTTCCCCGATTCACGATTGGCACACGCATAATTCATCATAACCAGTTACTGATGACCAGATTTGGAAGAATTTTGTGTTTAACGAGGAAATGACGCCAAAAATGCAGCGTTGTTGCAGGTTAAGGCACCGTTGACCGAGAAGACCTGGGGACGAGGTTGAGTTGCTTTGGTTGTAAAAACAAAAAATGGCTTTCTCCTGCTTTAATCCGAAATAATCTCACAAACATTCTCAAAACCGCGCGCCATGTTAGCTCATGTTGAACAAAACAATCAAAACAAGTTTTCCGTGACGTCATCCATGCATCTGTCCTCTGATAGATCATGAGCAACGACCAATCACAGCGCTCGTGTAATTCACATAATTGTATAGATAAAGGTTAGGTATGGTTTCCAGTGCAGTTTGGTATTAATTAGGACAAGTTCGCTTTTAAAGGAGTCAATCAGGATGTTGGGTTCTGCAAACTAATGCAAACTTGAGCTAGAAACCACATTTGTATCTATTAATAATATACTAACAAATAATTACATCATTGTCACCTAGGAATGAAAACAACCAAAGCAGGCTGCTCAACTCACTTCGCACTGTACTCTGTCCATGCCAAAAAAAGTAGTTTTACCTTGTGCTTTGGTTTTGTGACCTGTATCTCAATTATAGCTGATCTCAGAATCGTTATTTTTCTTTAATCATCTGAGTAAATCTCTGGTTCATAACTTTCAAATTTTCTCAGACAAAGCATAAATTTGCAGCATATTAAGGATCCCATCTGATATTGGCTGTACTCTATGACATTGCTTGATCACTGACCAATCAAAATCCTTGCTTTGATACCTTTTTCTACAATGAATTACCTTCTATTTCTGTATTCCATTAACCAAAAAGTGGATAAAAATTATATTCATGACTACTTTTTTTCATTTCTGATGAGTGATGAACAGACAATGGTGCAGAAATTGCAATAGCAGTGCACATGATTTTGTTTCAAAATTATCTAACTTCTGATCAGACTCACACCGCTGGCCACTGAGAGATCTCGAATAATGCTACTTACGGAATAACAAGACACATTACTCATAAAGGCCTTGGAGTTAAATATTACCTAGCATTAGCTCGTAAGCGCAAATTTAAGTACCAAGTTATGGCTTCCACCAACTTCAAGTCACTTAGCAACAGGGTAGGAGGCACAAAGGCAAAGGTTCTCTGGGCCACCACCTCATAATTGCTCAGTAGTTGTCTTAAAAAAAGAAGGCACAGAAATTCAATACTGCCAGCTTCGACTTCCTACCACTATAGCTCTCAATATCGGCAAAAGCTACAACCAGTGGTGATAATCATTATTCATTATAAATAATTACCTGTTTTGATGATCAACCTTGCTTCCATGAGTTTCTCTTTATCAGTCCACCTTCTGTGTTGTCCATTTTCTCTCTTCTCCTGGCAAAACAAAAGTAAAAAAAGCATCTTAGCAATTGTTGCAAGTTGTTTGCTATATATGCAGTACTCAGTGTTCAAGCCAAGTCTTAAAAGTGAAAAAGTGACAAATTTACATATTACAATTATTTTTTTACTTGTATGTCCTGGATATACACGTGCATAAACACCCATAACTAACAGGTGTTTTAAACTGCTGTCACTTGTATGATAATTACCATAAAAAAAAATGGAATGGAAGGAAAAAACTCTCATGGAAATCAAAGGATTGGTTATAAAATAGCGGCGTGCCCTTGTCACGCCCTTTCGTGAAGCTCCAGTACCGGCAGGCGACCCATTGCAACTGGTAGCGACGGTATTTACAGGAAAAAGAATAAAATGACCTGCAAACGTTATACACACAGGAAAAAAGGAAACAATATGAACACTGTTACCTTACTTTTTAAGCACTAGTGGTCGTATAAATCTCCATGATGCCGATTCCTTTCAAACTGAAAGCTCCTGCAAGCCTGTAAAAAATTCACAAAAGTCTCTAGAAACACCACGCAAGTTGTTTTCACCTCTTGAGTATTAGAGACGTTATGTGAAGAAGGAATATTTAGCGATGTTTGAAGCGAAAAATTGAGACGAAATAAAGAAAAAAAACTCTTACCAAGACAGTTGATGACTGAAAACACCATTGCCACGCTTTGTTGCCGCGCCTTTTCCTTCGGGATAGTCGCTCAATCAAGGATGACCAGGGGTGGGTCCTTTTAGCTTGCGGTTTTCCTAGAGTCGTTATGAAACTTTTTTTTTTTTAATAACTTTCTTATTGCCACAACAAGTATTGACATGCATATAGTAGTATATACATAATATTATAGTGAAATAAAATCACACAATAAGTCATACAAGATATTTTATTTCAAGTCGAGGGATTCTACGTTCTATGCTTCTTATATATTGTTAATGCAATACATTTTGTGAGAGGTTATTTTTAAAGCGAGACCATTTCCGTACAAAGACGTTTGAGTCGTTATTGTAAAATGCAATCTGCTTTTCAATTTCTATCGAGTTGATAAGTACCTGTATATACAACTGCAGCTTAGGAAGCTTGTTCCCAAGTCTGCAGGTGTATATGCAATGTCTAGCTATAAGGAGTAGGTGATGAAAGATAAGGTCTTTTACGTCGTCAATGAGACCGAAACAGAGAGACAAAGAGGGAGAGACGTTTTCTAAATCTTTGAAGTTTTGAGAGAGCCACTCGAACATGCTCGTCCAGAAGTTCTGGGTGTATTTGCAAGTCCGGAATAGATGAACGAGGGTTTGTTTTGTTCCAACGGTATGAAACTTATATGAAATCAAATAAGTACAAATTGAAAGGCAGCTGGCCCCTTGAAATAACCGGGAACTCATCAGTTCGCGGTAATTGTCTAAAGTTAGAAAACAGGTCCGACCAAATACTGATTGCCAGTCAGATTTAGCCGGATGACCATAACGACTTTGATTGGCCCGCAACCAAGTAAATCACACGAAGGAACACTCGTGCTAAATCACGTGACTGCGATTTGCATTTAGCACGAGCAATAGCCGTTCTACCAGCAGATAATAGAGAGCTTAACAAGCGACGTTTTTTAGCCATGGACGGAAACAGGAAGTGAACATTTCGCATGCCAGGACAGTGGTCTCTCCCAGATTTGCAAACTAATCGTCTCTACTAGTGAAAACATACTTAACAATATAAATGTAGTGGTGTGAAGACAAGTTAAATAGGGAAACAGGTCACTTCTGGTTGCCGCCCCACAACACGCTTCTCCTTTGCGACAACACTCTTGGGCCTGTATGGTTTCGTTTCCAAGGAGACGCGTGGTCAAAAATGCCCACTTCGTGGATTCTCCCCTAGCCTGCGAAAACATCCGTTTCCCCTCGCTCTTCGTCGCTGGGGACGTTTCGCGAAGAGGAACGCCTCCACAAGAAACGTCCCCAGCGGCGAAGAGCCAGGAGAAACGGATGTTTTCGCAGGCTAATTCTCCCCCTACAGATGCGGGACACACGATACGGGATGGTTAAAGGGGGCTCATCCCGAGGAACACGAGGGTACGGTGACACGACAGGTGTGCTTCCACTTGAGTCCAAATTATTGCCGTTGGTCCGTCAATATAATAATATATATAATACTATCTGTATTTCATCAGTTTTTTGCTTTTAAAAAATTGATAATTCAGTTGTTTCTTCGTTATTCTTCTCGGTTCTCGGTCGTGTTGGCGTCAATACACGGGTACATGTATCCTTGAGATACGACGAAAATAAACAAACTTTGTATATCTAGAGAGACCCGCATTCCTTCATTGAAATCGGGTCTCTATTACCGTTTTTGCCAATGGCACATAATTGCACAGCCTTTCCAGAAAAATCACAATCATCTCTGACAGTGTTTTACAGTCTCTATTAAGAGTGGATATCCGTAAAAATCAAACAAAATTTAAAACCCTGAAAAATCGATTCCGCTCATATTTTAATTTCAAGTTAGAAAGTGGAATGTCTTTGGGGAACCATGGTATACAGTCAACTCTCTCCAAGACGGACACCTTTGGGACCGGCACTAGCTGTCCGTCTTAGAGAGATGTCCGTATTATAGAGAGTCAAATAGAGGGAGGAAAGAAAGGCAGGGACCAACTCTAGGTCTCCGTTTTACAGAGGTGTCCGTCTTATAGAGGTGTCCGTTAAGAGAGAGTCGACTGTAGTTCGTTTGGTTAAATATTGCTCTATTTGGAAAAAAAAAATGCAAATTACCGAATGCCGCTGAAAATGTCGATAAGACGGGCGATTTTTGGCTTCACCTTAGTGATGGTAGGGTCAAAATGGTCAAAATTGGCCGATTTATGGCTGATTTTTAAGGAGAGAAATGTTGGCCCCCGAGACCATATTTTTTGAAAAGAAAAAACTTTATTTACAAACCACGTGTTTTAATAGACTTCACCTTAATCGTGAAGAGTATGTCTTACTTAGCTTACTTGGAGAGTCCGTACATTCCTTACTATTTTGGCCTAAATTATTGCAATCACAACAGACAAGATTAGCGCATTCACGCGCGAAATGCCCAAAGCGATTACATTTATGGCACCTCAGGGATTGATCTTGTTGAAACAAATTAACTTGAAAACGCCCAAATCGTAAAGTAGCAGGAAGGTGATGATTAATTAAGGATGACAGAAAATGTGTGAACCCCGTTGAGAATCTTTGTTCGCTGATGGCAATTACGATACGTATTCACTACTTGACATAGTGAGATTCCTGACACATTATATATACGTCACAAAGCGTCTTCCTGATTCAAAGTATAAGCAAAATCCCTAATCAAACAGTTCTAAATAAAGTTATTAGGCTTAAGGTGACACAATATGGCACCTTGTGACGCATATATAAAGCTGCTTGAATCCAATCATTCAGTTGTAGTGGTCATCTATCAAAATTTGACACAAAAGGTCATGCCCTTATTTATGCCAGCAGCTTGCATACATTAAAATTTAACGTGTCTGTACGTCTTATTGTTGATACAAAAGCAGCCAATTAGCGGAAATAAAATCTCCCAGTTTTGGTTAAATAAAATTTTTGTTGTGAGCAGAAATTTTTACAAAATCTAGCGCTATCCCCAACCACCTAATTGTACTAAATACTTCAGCTATGGGCAAACGTGACCACACCAGGAAAAAAAGGTTATGCGAATAATTCACAAGTTCCTCACTCCTGTTACGAAAACGCTCGAAAACTGGTATAACGTTATTTCCAATGTGTGCTTTACAACCGACTATGCATTAAAAAAAAAGATAGATTGCGGCTTAACCTCTTCCCCAGGACTTCTTGATGCGCCTAACCAAACAGAGGAGAAACGTCCTGGGAACGAGGTTGCCACAACTTCCCCTGCTCACGGAATTGCAAAGTTTGTCTTATCGGTTTGCTCACCAAAACGTTTTCAGCTCCAAAGCCTAGAAATACAACCTTTGAGAACAAAATGAAAATGATTATCGAAGAAGAAAATTCAAACTTCGATGCTGCACATTGGCAGTCGAAACCTGCCGAATACGAACATTTCCATGGACACTGATGTCCCCAGAAAAATGAAATAGATAACTATAAAGATACACCCAACTTTTTGGTTCAAGACCCAGTTGTTCAAATAAAGGACAAAAAAGGCAATAGCCACAGTTCCCACGATGAAAAAACACGACACAAATAGTCCACGACTGTTGACCTCAATAGGTGCATTCCACGCCGCTGCCTTAATAAGCCATGGGACACCCAGACACAGAAGAACATCAAATGTGTTGCTTCCCACGTTGTTTGACACCGCCATGTTGCCGTCACCTGAGAGAGACCAAAAAAGAAAATCAGAACTTTCGGACTGGGGAAAGCTCCGCAATGGAGGTAAAAGGAAAAAAAGGACAATTATGTTCCTCCCCTCCCCCTTGCAATCCCCCACGTGGTTCGTAATTAATTGACGAACCTCTGTTACAAAGTCAGCTTTGATCATTGGGAATTTCGACTAAATTCGTATCATTTCTCAATCAGGTTTCTCCCAGATTCAATAGCTGCAATTAGAGATAGCCAGCTCCCTTGGTAAATATTTCTCTTTCTTTCCAGCCTTTGCCTGTATGGTGGCGAAACAAACTTAAGAAAAGGCACGTACTCCAATAAACGTCTACACTGCACATGTCTTGCGTTCTGGTTGAAGAGCTAATATGGTCGTGTGGGACGTAAATTAACTCTCTCGAGTTGAGTTCTGCGATCTACGTGACATTTATGCGAAAGTCTTGTTGCCACTGTAGTACAGTATGTTTTATGGTCAATTGCAACTGGAATGATAGCATAGCTTACCTTTTCGTGCGATGAACAGACTTGCCGAACAATCTGGTACACTGCTTCCAAAAGCGACGAGTGTAAGTCCCATGACTGAATCCGGGACGTCAAATGTATATCCAATAACAGTAACCATCCAAACGAGGGTATAAGACGATACTGAAATCCAAGCAATACAAACTATAAAAGAAACTGCCACCCACTTCTGGCAAGATTCCTTCTTCACATCTGGGATGGTGAAAAAATACGCTATGTTGATTGGAAGGCCAAGGAACCAGCAAAATCTAGCCGCCAACCCCTCCGGAGGATTAAATGGCGTCCCTAACAAGAGATCTGGGACGGGTCGGTGTTTTAAACCGTCTCCTGTAAAAACAAAAGGCGTTGAATTTGAGTTTCTCCAAGCCCATATACACCTCTTCTTGGAAAAACTACAAAACAAATTCGGGGGAATCATAACGAACGAAGACTACACCTTTGGGAAGAAACACAAGTAAATTATAAAGATCGAAAAAAAGACTGAAAACAAGGTGGACACACGTCACACCAGCCCCAGGGCGTGGTCATCGACTTTTTTTTTTCAAATAAATGGATGTGCACTCGGTGTTGACGCCACAAAGTGTCCTGCTAAGTCCACTTGCAAGCTACCTCATAACAATTATGTTTATCTATTAACCAAACTTTACAAATATGGTGTCCATGGAGACTTGCTAAACTAGTGTAGAGATTATTTAACGTCAACAGCGTGTTGTAATGAAAGGAGAGGCTTCCGACTGGTTAACCGTAACCTCTGGTGTCCCAGAAGGTTTTTTGTTGGGACCATTATTCTTCATAGTCTACATCAACGATTTACCGGGGGTAATTAGTAAGGACAGTTCAATTGCTTTGTATGCTGATGACAGTAAAATGTATAGGGTTATTAGCACTCAAGGAGATCTGTCTACTTTTCAAAATGACATAGATAAAATTTCAGATTGGTGTAAGATGAATAAGATGAGAATTAATACCAAGAAATGTTGGGGAGTTGGGAAGTTGGGGAGTATAATATTGAAGGTCAACCGTTGGAAAGTGTTAATATGTATAAAGATTTCGGATTATTTACTGCTAGTAATCTTTCATGGAACCAACACGTAGATAAAATAACTGCTAAGGCTAATAGGGTTTTAGGGTTGGTTAAGAGGACTTGTAGGGACTTAAAGGATATTGATACCATGAACACACTTTATTGTAGTCTTGTGAGACCTTTATTAGAATATTCATGCGAAATTTGGAAGCCTCATACTAAACGTAACATTGATAAATTGGAGGCTGTTTAGCGAAGAGCTAGCAGATGGATCACTAGGTCTGATGACTCTTAGACTATCTAAGCTAAAATTGTTGTCATTATCAAATAGGAGGTTCACTAGAGATGTTACATTTTTTTTAATGTAATTAATGGACATTGATATTGACATTTCAAATAAGCTCACATTTTGTAAGGACAGAAATACAGGTTAGAACTTGAGGAAAAATTACACACAGGACCTTGTTCCAAATTTTAGTAGAACTGATGGTTTTAAATATAGTTTTTTTTTTTTAGCGTATTGTAAATGAATGGAATGGTTTACCCAATCATATTAGAGAATCAAAAGTATTGCAACTGTAAAAAAAATGTTTTAAGCTTTATCAAGGATAACTAGAACATTTATATTTCTATTTGTATATATTTTTCTTATATTTTAATTAGTGGGGGCATCATATCCCTATTATGGCACATTGGCGCTTTTGGTTGTCTCCTTCTCCACAACTTTCTTTTCTTTCTTATAGTAGTGTTAGCTTATTTCATTTTATTATTTGCTTGTAATGTAGTGGAGTGAATATGTAATAAATAAATAAATGTTTGATTTAAGGTTGTTTTAATTAAGGATTGAGATAACTGTTTTTTTTAGTTAGGAAGACACTTTATGATGGTTATTGTCAGCATTTCTTGCTATACGTCATGTTGAAATGGACCCGAAGTGTAAGGGAACACTTTGTGACGCTAATTGAGGTCTGCAGGCATATTATTGCAAGCATTCTGAGCAAAAACTCCTGAAACACGAGATCTTTATGATCTCACTATTTGAGCCGCTTATCACGAAAATCGAACTATCAAAAGCACAAAAAATCCACCGTCAAAGCTATCCCCAAGAAGAGACCCTCTATCCTGTTCCTGTTTTTGAGGGACGGTTCCTGGTCGTTTCCGATTGCCAATAACATTATAAACTTTACCCTTTAGTGGTTGTTTCTGCCCACCGTCCTCTTTCCTTTCTTCTTGTTGTTTCTCTTCCTTTTTTCCATTTCCTTTCTCTTCAGGCGTCTCCTTTGCAGAGTTTGTCTGTTCATTAGTGCTAAGTGATTTCTTCTCTTTTCCTCCGCTGTGGCTCTGTTCTTCATCAGCAATCTTTTGGTATCCATTGTTGCTTGCTTTGATGCCGTGTGAAGCGTGTAGATCGGATTTAAACTCAGGACTGTTCGTATTGGTTATTTTATAAAGCCAGGCCTCAATTCGGGGATTGAAGTACATAATGATTAAATATATCAAATAGGAACACGACATGGCCAATGCCTCTGGCCTGCGAAATAAATAGAAATCACAAAAATAAAAAAGCTTAGCTAAATTTCATTTTGTTCATTGATGATTTAAAAAAATATATTTGCTGGAATCTTTGACCGAGATGATTTCCCTGCTCCGAAATACAAGAAATTAGCAAAGTTTCCGGTGCAGATTACATCATATCAAATCCTTGTACAATACTTTTTTGGCATAGGGCTTCTAGTCAAAAATGTCATGAGACAGTCCCCGAGAAAAAAAAAAACAACAACAACTTCGTTCCCAGAGCTTTTCCGCCTCTCCGGGGGAAACCCCCGAGGAGGTTGACGTTCAACAATATAGCTGCCTTGACGTCACGAGCATCCTCTTTATTGACAATCGTTTCCCATCTTTATCTAAGTCCTGGCTGTGCGGGCCAGTCAAGTGGTTAACTGAAGAGACTACAAATCGATTCAAATCAAATGCTGGTTCTTACTTCAGAGTGAAAAACAGGAGTATCGGGAGCGAGAAAAACAAAGCTTTCCGAGCGGAGTAGAGAACCAACAAACTTATCTCACACAAGTGTCGAGGGCAGAATAGAACCCGGGCAACGTTCATGGAAAGCGACTGCCCTCACCACTGCGCCAACCCTCAGTAGCCAAAGGGACTAAAAATTAATGTTACATGAAGTTAAAACACTCACCAGGTTACAATGCTATCTATGAGCACCAAGATGAGAATGACAAGACTGAAGAGATAGAACATATTGTCTCTGACGAGGGGCCACCATGCTAAATACAAAACCTATTATGGACACATCACACAAGTTAGACGAAGTAGGTTAACGACGAAATTGCTTACTTGAAGTTGCTTCTTCAAATCTCTACTTTATGATCATTTATTTTTCGTTCGGAACATGCGCTCTTGAAAGCATATGTCACCTAAAAGTCTAGTACGCCTTTTCTTTTTGGAACATCTCGGGTTGAACCAAACGGTTTTGTTTGAAGGACAAAGGTAACAAAACGTGATGCACATGCAGCGTTGTTAACGCTTTTATGTGACGTCAAAATAGCCACACCCCCTCCCCTCCTAAAATAGGAACATCAAGAACAAACTAGTCTTTAGCTTCGTCTGCTCTTGGCTCCTGGACACTTCTAAGAATGGGCTCATAAAATGTTTTTTCTAAGATTAGTAAACCAGTAAGCACTGATATACATTTTAACATTGCAATCCTGTCTGTAGTGTTCACTCTACCCTGCCTAGAAACCCAATCTAAAAATACACAGCTGCAGCTTGTTCGTTTTGTTTTCTCCATTCAAAACACTTGATATTTCAAAAAGCGTGCAAGCATAAACACGTGCATGACATAAACACCCTCATCTGGGAAAACAAAATGTACAAGTTAAAGAGGTCTGTTGAGGGATAAGGTCATGTCAGGAGTCCGTGAGCAGGAGGGTACTGCTTCCAAAGATTTATGTTACAGCGAATTTGAATTTTTTTATTATTATTATTTTTAATTTCTATCTTAATAGAAAATTAGAAAATAAGAAGCATTTCTTGGATATGCCCGCAGTTAGCAAAAGCTGGTCGACGCGGGCAGTGTTTACGGTTATTTTACAAGAGAGCAGAAGATTCAAATCTACACGAATTCACGGATTGAGCACTTTTTTAGACTGACGCAAGATCCTTCCCAGCCATTCAGAAGGCTTGCATAATTGATTAGTTCCTTAGGGGTCAATAGTTAAGCAATGGAACCTGAGCCAGTCTTGAAATAGCTCGATCCGTGAAAACGCTGTAAATCACGTGGTTATCCTCTCCTGGTCATCTTCTTACCGTTCCAGCCCCTACGCCACATAATCCAATAACGAACAGCACGTTGAATACCGCTGAGCCTAAGATGTTGCCGATCCCAATGTCCCCTTCTGTGATGAAGACACCTATGATTAGAAGGTAGAAATTTGTCATTAAATCTTTTCTAAGGTGTAGAGTCACACTTGCAAAAACTTCCATTCGTTATCAAAACTGCGCGAGTTTCCTGGGGTCTGTACTACGCATGTGCACAATATTTGAGCATATTTGGAAATCTGTGAATAATCCGTAGTTGCATGTTTGTCTACTCGGCGGTCCATATCTGTCTTAAAAATATTTCCTTAGCTGCCTTTTGGCTTTTTGCACTTCTAGCTCGGACTACATCTCCTAGTTTCTACAGCAATCTCGTTCCCAACGCTTTCTCCACCGAGTTGGTGGTGGGCAACAGGCCGCCATGTTGGACGCCGAGAAAACCTCGGGAACGAGTTTAGGCCTGTTTATGCACTTGGCATTTGTGAATCCCCGATAGTAAATATCGTGCATCAAAAGCGTAATCTTACAACTCACCAATGATTGAGGCGAATAGATCGGGAGCTGAATTACCCAAAGCCATGAAAGTAGCACCGGCCACATCAGATTGAAGTTTCATCTTATCACAAATAATCTCCAAGCAAGGAACGAAATATTCATCGCAGACAATAGCTATGGCCCAGGATATGTAACATGCAACCAGAAAATGAATAACGACTGCACCAAGTCGCCTTTCATGCTGGTTGAACAAATCACCCGGAAAATTCTCGATTGATGGTGGGCTGCAGTTCCTGAGATCGTTTGTCACGTGAACGAGAGGATGTCTTCCAGTGAATGATCCATCTGAAATGATTAACAATTATTCTTCGAGCCCGAATGGGCCATGAATGAATGAATGAATGAATGAATGATAATGAATTTGTATAGCGCTAAAACTATAGAAGAATATTCAAAAGCGCTTTACATAAATTAAAATTAATGAATAAATAATAAATAAAGAATTTAAAAAATCCTTGAAAGCTATAATAATGAGGGCGAGTGGAATAATTGTTTTAGTAAAATGCAACTAGTTGGTCAAAAATATCGAGACAAAACAACTTTAGCTAGCAAAACGCAATTCAGCCGCCATTGTTTTGGTTTTCAATGCCGGCGCTTTGCGCTACTAGTGGGCTATAACATATAGCCTAGTAGTAGCTCAACCAATCAGAACGCAGCATTGGTAATAGACCACTAGTTGGATTTTACTAATAAGTAAAAGAGCTGTATTTTTCCTAACTACAACAAGAGGACATCCAGAGCTGCAATTTTTCCCTAAAACGTGGAATGAAATGTGAAATGAAGCAAGAAATTTGGAATGGGAAGTGAAATGCGAAATGTCAAATGTGAGATCCGAATGTATCATTGAATTGATTAGTCCAAAGCTAGCTAATGGCGAAAAAACGTCAATTTCCTAACCAGGAGCTCACGGGTATAATCCCGCTTGTGAGACTTATAAGATCAAATATCCCACTAAACTACCTTACCCAACAGTAACAGAACGCCCATGTCATTCTTAGTTGTGGTGATATTCTGTACGTACCCGAGACCTCTTGAACTACTTTGATAGGTTTTTCTGCAGTCACACTGATTGCATCGTCTCGGCGACAACTGAAAAAGCAGAGCACTATAAGAGCTGCAAATTCCAGTTGAAACTTGAATCGTCTTCTTCGTATCATAGCTGGAGCTGAACAAACGAAGACGACATTTTGTCAGTCACTTACTTATTCTCTGTGCGTCTTCAATTGTTTTATACAAGAGATAGATGTTTTGAAACGTTGAGGAGCGCGAATAGTTTCTTGTTATCAAAGTATAAATCGTTTTCACTGTCATACAACCAAAAATTAAATTGGAAACCGTCCAGTGGAAGAAGCCAAAAAAATGAAATGTTGTAAAAGACTAATATATAAACAATTTTTCCAAGTCTCAGGTCTTTGTGGCCCATAGTTTTTGAGTTATTTGCCGAAACGTTTCACGTACCTTTGTAGATCAGCTTTGTATGGAGACACCATATTGGTGCACCGTTTTGGTGTACCAATATGACCGCCGGAAATCAACAAAAACATCTGGAGTTCACTTTTTCTATAAAAGCTCTTTCTTTTCACTCGAGAACTAGCATACGTACGCATAAACATAATTATCTTCTAATACTTGAAGTGGTTATACTGCTGAAAATCAAGAGGAGAGACTTTTTTTTTCAACGAGACGGCATTCCTATTTTGGTGTCACGCACTGTGAAAACTCGGAAGTTCAAATTGTTGTATTTTTGAAACGAAACATGCTACGGAAATGGAAACTTGCACAAGGATATACTTTTTGTTTATCTTCAACCTAGTGTAAATAAGAATTCGTAAAACCTCGCTATTTTGATGACGTCACAGTGAAAACTATCTATACCAAACTACTCAACAGCTATCAATTAAAAATCAGGGCAAAAAAATAGAAACCGATCTCAAACCCAAGAGGTTAAAAGTATACAAACGTTAGGAAAATTTTGTGTTTTGTGTAATAACTTGCTCCCTTTAACGCCTGACATGCGACTCGCATAATTATGCAAAGAGTAATGTATACAAAACGTAATGTATGCAGAATGACACAACGAAGTACAACGAAGAATCCTTTTCCAGAGTGGATTCTGTGATGCACCCTGATCCAATCGATCTTGGATCAATGATCCGTTTTCGGATTTTCCCAAAGAAACGCACCCGAAGTTAACATCTTCATCATTCCTCTCGAAATGCAAGCTTATGTTGAAGAAACGTCGAGCTCAATTAGTGGCTGTTTTATGAATGCTCAGTAAATAGTATTGGAAAATTAAAGAATCCGCGTAATGATAAGAACTGGTTAGCGACGGTAATGAGGTTTCATTCGGTGAAAAATGACTCTTACACGAGGCCGCTTCTCCCTTTTGAAACCATTTCCCTCCATGGCCGCCGCACCCAATGTATCCTCTTTTCACTGTTATGTCATTTCGCATCCTTGCATCCACGCACGCATGTTAACTAAATGCATTCCACTCACCTTAATAAACGTTTTTCTTCAAAGCAGTCGTAAACAGTAACTTATGGTCCCACTTAAAACAAAAATGTATAAGCTTAGAGGAAACTACTATTTACCAAATTGAATGTTAAATTAACATCGCCACATTGGTATATCATTCAGATTAGTATTCATCAGTGCCTCTATTGTTCACTTACTAAATACACCAGGTATTTCCTCACATACGAATGGTGGTCGAATTAGTGTTTAATGTAATGCACGGAGAACGATTTCAACTTGCGAAACGAAAATTTTTAAGAACATTGATGGAAAAAGTTTCTTCCCAAATTTCCCATGAGAAATTGTTTTAAAGTACTCAGTATGCAACCACGGATGACTGGTTTGCTTACATCATGGTTGCTAGGATTGATTTGGATTTTACTAAAAATTCCGACAGCGATCAAATGGTATTATAATTCGGCTAATCATAACTATAACAAAATTCTCAAATCTGATTGGCTATCAACTGCCCTGATTTCAGCCTTAATTGGACAGTTTAATAGGACAGTACGCGTCATGCCTAAGTAATTGGACAGTACGCGCCATCACGCGCGCACTTAAATGGCTTTTTTTTTTCACTGCTAGCAAACAAAATTTCGAATTTCTTGTGTTTTGATTTAAAAAATAGCCTATTATATTACAAATTTTGTTAAAGTTATGATTAATTGGTAACAGAGCTTCGTGTCGTCATATTCGGTCTGTAATCATACTCGTGATTGAACAAATCGGACTCCCGCTACGCGGTCGTCCGATTTTGTTAATCACTCGTATGATTACAGACCAAATTGGACTCCACTCAGTCCTGTTACCGTTACTAATAACAACTGACACTTTGTCATTGCTGCCAAGAAGCCAAACACAGTTAAATAGTGACCTGACTAAATTCTCCTTGCTAACTTTCATGCCTTCTGTTATCTCGAGAAATGTTCTTCGATGAAGTTAATTTTTCGATTAAGTATGCGGCCAAGTCAGGCTCCCAGTAGTCTGTAGAATCTGTTTACAAAATTAAAACGAAGTGATTCTGCATGAGATCGCATATCTTTTTGCAAATTTTTATGACCTTTCTTAAAGGGACACGGTCAGCTACGGAACAGCGCTGACCTGGACACGACTTTTGCCAATTTGAAAAGCGTTTACCTCAACCCGAAATCAAATGTATGCGTCGGATACATCTCGAAATCCGCTTCAGTCTTGCCTAGTGTTTCATTCGATCCTCGATCTTTTACAGAAAACCTCTTTTTGAGCAAACGTTAACTCATCCTATGACATTCTTTTATCACATTTGGTTAAAAACAGTATCCAAAGAAACATCAACAGAAGAGGTGAGAAACGCGTAGGCGCCGAATTGCCTTCGTTTGAGAAAGAGAGTCCTTACACAAGGCTTGTGCAAGATGCTTACAGAACGCGTAAGAATGCTTACACAAGGCTTGTGTAAGATACTTACAGAGGGCTTGTGTAAGAGTCTTACAGAACGCCTAAGAAGGCTTACCGAAGGCTTGTGTAAAATCTTTACGGAAGGCTTATGTAAGGTAATTGCACAAGGCTTGTCTTACATAAGGCTTCTTTAAGATACTTACGGAAGGCTAAGAGTCATTACTGACGGTTTGTATAAGAAAGGCTTCTGAATCGCTTAGGGTCTTTTCTAAAGGCTCATGTAAGAATCGTTAAACTATGTGCAAACGCCTTTGGTATCCATCTTTAAAACCGTTTTTCTACGCCATTAGAATCATTGATATATATTTTTTGCGATTGAAGTGATAAATGCCTCTTGCAAAGTATTGTTGGCGATTATGGGTTAACGATCATTGTTCGCTCCGTCTGAAAGAGTCCTTCTCTTATTTCTTTTTCTTTTTTGACAACATCTCAAGATATTGCGGATGATTTAGTCGTTTTTAACCCTCCCAAGTTACCCACAACACAAATGATACTTTTATCTGAGTTCCTATATGCGACATTTTTTTTTAAAACTTCAACAAACAACAAAT